GCTGAACCATGGCAGCGTCACGCCCCTCCTCGTAGACACGGGCACCTTCCGCTGCCTGCTCGAACGTCTGTAGGATGTCCATGGCCTGGCCCAACGTAAGCTGTGAACCTTTCATGAGCAGCTTCTGTCTTAGCTCCACGCTCCATACTCCGTCGACGACTTTATCCCGCAGCGCTGCCTCAAGATAGTCACCGAAGTCGCAAGTACTCGCGAGCTGTCGCAGGGCGCTGACGTACGCGCGTATCGGTTCTTCCTGAAGCTGTCGCCGCAACATGAATCGCCGTCGTTCGACAAGCACATTCAGAGTGTTCGTGAAATGTCGTTCCAACAACCGAAGTGCATCGGTGTAGTCGTCCGGCTCACCCCCTTTTGATGTGGTCTTCTCCGGCGTACTTCCAGCTGCAGCAGCAGTTATCGGTGGTGCAGCCGCAGGCTCTGGAACCAACGTGCGAAACACTCTTCGACCTTCCACCCCCAAACACTGTAGAAGTATCGCCTTTCGTTGTGCTGGCGGTTTCGCGTCCATTTCCGTCGCCTGCAGAAAGATCTCGAAGTCCTCTCGCCATTGCCGCCATGGCACTGCCGGGTCTCCCGGCGCCTCCAAAAACGGGGCTAACGATGGCAGCCCGAACGTATTCATCTTTGCGTTAATGGGTAACGCCCCTCGCGTACTAGTTGCGAAGAAGGACTGTCATCTTGACTGCTGCCGAGGTTGTACTTTTGTCGACTGCGCCAATGTGGTGTAGACCGGCGAACGCAGCCGGAAGGCCGCAGAACAAGAACTGACACGAGGCAGGCACTGGACGCTGACTCATCTTTATGCCGATGATGATGCTCTTATATACAATTGGTAATGCATGAGTTCAGCGCCCCCTATACACAACAAGCTTCTTGTAGCTTGCCCATTTATTTTGTAACCGCACACGATGCATAGAACGAAATACAAGACAGTGCGTGCGTTTGGCATGCAAAAGCGCTCCATGAAGTTCACCAGGATGGCAAAGTTGGAAATTTCTGCACAGCGTGCCGCCAATGCTCATCACGTTGAAGCTTCCAACGGACCTCCCGTGCCATCGGCCGTTGCCGCTGAGGAAGAAGCCGTCACTGTGAGTATGTGAGGCGTCCCCAGCACATTGACCGCTGCAGTTTCTTCCGAGATTGCGGGCTTCAGCACTCGCCTGGCGCCTACTGCAAGTGGGAGTGCGTCGTCCAGCGCCCATCTCAAGACAGATTTTTTGACGCGCGAAGAAATTAAAGTTGCCGTAAAACATTATGAGATTGTTCAAGCTGAACTAGGCACTATGCCAGCGACCCAAAGGAGGCTTCGAGCCATGCAGCCCCATCCCACACCTGCCACTGCGACAACCGAAAGTGCAAAGTTTCGCCTCGTTCAGAAGGACGTTTTTAGCAACCTGCTTTCCTGCACGGTGTGCGAGCATTGCTTGGGGACTGGGTTGACTGTACAAGAGGGCACCAAGCTGGGACTGGCCACTAAACTCGAGGTCACATGCCCACCTTGTGGCATTGTTGCAAATTCCTGGAGTTCATGCCAACAAGGCTCGATGGCTTTCGAAGTCAACATCTGATCCATAATGGCTATAAAGCAGATTGGAAAGGGGCAGACAGCTTTCAATGATTTTTGGGCTGCCATGAATGTCTCCCACAGAGGTCTCCACCACAAGACATTCCAGGAGCAGCTGAAGACCTTCAGAGAGTAAGAGGCCCTGTGCATGGACAAGTTTTATGCCGATCCAGCCGCTGCTGTGAAGACAGTCTACAAGAAGATGGATGCAAGCTTCTGCAAGGACATGAATGTGGTGTACGATAGAACATGGCACAAGCGTGGGTACATGTCCAACATCAGCGTTGGATCAGTGATCAGGTACAGTCGAACCCAGATATATCGAATTTAAAGGGGATCGTAAAATAGTTTGATATATAGATAATTTCATATAAAAAAAAATATGTTAACTCAAGCTCCAGTTCAAATTTCCGCGTGTCTCTGCTAATACCAAAGGTAGCAACAAACAGGACCTCGCCAAATAGAACCTCTAGAGCCGCTAAATACAGCAGAGCTTAGTTGGTGAAGATCACAACCACCGCTGCGTTTACGCGGCAGTGTTTGCGACTGTTTAAGCCTGGCCACGACCTCCACACAATGCCAACAACAAAACACAAAAAATAATTAAAAAACTAAAATAAAAAAAAAGCGAGTTGCATCAAAAAAAAAAGAAAAAAAATCTCAATCCATAAAATAAAGTTAAGCAAGCAACAAAAAACAAACCTCACTAAATTCAGGTGACAAAAATTCAGGTGGCAAAAACGGCGTAAGAAAAAGGTAAACAAAGGTAAGGCGTTCAGAGTGTGATTGCTCAACCGTTGTTGATACACTGAACTTTTTTTTTTCCTTTTTATTTAATTTTAAGTTAAGGAGTTGCGCAGCGACAGCGGTGTTCGGGGAAAGAGTGCACGGTGCCTTTCCAACAGCGGGCACTCCCTGCCCTCCCTAAGCGCTCGCGCATGCCTTTTTCCTTGCTTTTGCCATCTTCCATTTTTTTTTTTTACAAATGCTTTTTTTTTTTTTTACAAATGCTTTTTTTTTTTTTTTTACAGATGCTTTCTTTTTATTTTTTTTTTACAAGTGCTCTTTTACTCCTTTCGTGTCCCTGTCCCTGTGCGCGTGTGCTGGCTTGGCAGTCTGCCAGCCCCGTAAGGCAAGCTGTGTGCTCCCTGCCTGCGCAATGGGAGAAGCGACGCAATGGGAGAAGCATGCCGTGCTTCATTCACTATACAGTGTAGACCGCATATAACGTATGTCGCGGGAGTCGCGAAAATTCGCACTATAAGCGGTACCGCGCTATCACCAAAACATCAATTTTTCAGGCCAAAATACATGCCATCAGACAACTTACTTTTGTAAAAGAATTTATTTTATGTTAGATGAAAAATAAAGCTTAGTTTGAGGAAAGTCTTTATTTCACCAGACTAGTACACTTCTCTCTCAAGTGTGTCACACATTTTGAAAGAAATAAGCGAGTTTTGCCTGGCGCAGCCTTTTAACGGCGTTGCGGGTTGCGGACGGACGTTGAGAGCGTTCGGGAATGCTAACCCTAATCACTTTTCTCCGATGATGAAAACGCGTGAAAATTCGCACCCTTTATACGGTATGCACCAGTAATACCTTCAACTTGAGCACAGGCATGAAATGCTCCAAATAAGAAATCCGGGCGATGTTCGAAAACACAAATGCTTAGAAAGTACCACTGTAGTCGAAGTAAACAAACACGACGACACGAGCGTTTCTGCCGTCTTGAGAGTGCCGCCCCAACATCGCCGCACGAGTAGGTGGATCTTCCCTTCTAGTACGTGCTGGGTTATCATAGCGACACACAACGAAAATTCACAGTCAAAGATAGCGCTTTTACGCGGAACGATGAACTTCCACCATGCTGTCTACGACTACGATCACAACCGACAAACAATGCTCCTATACAATTACATCCGATTTTCAAGATGTTTAGACTGTTCGATATAAACAATAATTCGAAATACCCGGGTGCGATATAACCGGGCTCGACTGTACCATACAGGCCTCATCTTGGATGCCGTGGTCCTATCCAACCCGTGCCTTGGATACCAGATAGGACCCAAGCCTGGAGATGAAGCCTACAGCAGCTGGCGCATGCATCACATCTGCCAAAAGAACACAGACGCCAAATCTGGAATGATGGAGGTTGACGCAGCCCTGATGCTTTTCAACGTAGTCTCTCCGAAGCACAACTTGCGTTACACGACATTAGTCTCCAACGGGGACAGCAGGACCTTCTCTGCACTCGTGGAAGAGAATGTCTATGGGCTAAAGCCTATTGTGAAGGAGCAGCGCCTCAATCCCGTTCAGAAGAGGATGGGGACGGCAATGCGCAACATCGTCCAAAAGAGTGACAAGCTGTTGATTGGCAAGGGACAGCTGACAAAGGCCCACATCGACAAGCTCACTGACTACTATGGCTGGGCCTTACGAAACAACTTGAAGGACATGGCTGCGATGCAGTGTGCAGTAATGGCCACATACCATCACATCATGTCGACTGACCAGGAACCCCACCATGAACCTTGACCGGAGGGAGCTCAATCCTGGTGCCGGCACAGAGCTGCCGAGGCAAAAGGCAAGCCCCAGCATAAGCACCAGCTGTCAGACTATGTCACTGCAGCTATGCTGCTTGTCTACCCACGTCTATCACAGGCTTCTCTTCTCCAACGCTCCTTGGGGGCGAGGGCACAGAATGCATCCGAGTCTTTCTACTCTGTTCTGTGGTCCCAAGGAACAGCATGCATCGCTGATTGCTGTTGAAATGGCACTGCGGGAAGCAGTATTTAGAATCAATGACGGCTGCTACAAGGCAGAGATCTTGGTCTCGGTGGGACTCCAGCCAGCCCATCTAGCCCTTCAGCGAGCTGCCGAGAAAGATGACCAATGCATGCATAAAGCCAGCAAACGACCGCAAGAGAAGACAGAGGCGGAACAAGAAAGTGCACAGGGACACTCCCAGCTACTGTGCAGGGTCATTCTAGTGCAGAAAGTGTGGCTAAATTTCAACCGCCGTTTGCTCAAAATGGATTTTTCCTTTGCCGTGGCTGCTCATCCCCGTGATATCTCAGGAACTGCTTATCCGATTTGTGTGCCGTCTTTTTCTCCTAAATACCTTTGTGAGGGTGTGACAATCTTTTTTTCACAAATTGGGCTAAACATTTTTAATAAACAAAAAGAAAAAAATAATGATGTGTGTTTGATTGAAAACTGAAACTTCAATGTTGCGCTAAAGTTTGTCTGCGACGAAATTAAAAAGGCTCTGTTATGCCCTGGGGTACCTGTCCAGCAGTCACCATGAGGAATTTCAGACTACCACTGCCTTTGGCAGATTCTCCAGGACGGGGATAAGGGATACAAATCCTTAGCCATCCAGTTGCCAATGCAGAGCCTAGCCGACAGAGGCACTGACCCCGCTCGGTGGCAGCCCCCCTGGGCCGGCAGAGCAGGGGCTCCGTGGCCTGGGACAAGTGGAGGAAGAGCTCTCCTCGGCCCAGCAGGAACACCTCCCGCAGCAGACGCAGCTCCTCGGGCAGGCAGCCTTCCTCCACCAGCACCCGCCAGACGTGCTGCGCAGGCCACCCAGAGAACAAGGGAGAATGGTAAACAGATCCAGAACATGCTTGGGAGAAGAGCGTGTTGGTTTAAGTCATGGATGAAGAAAGAATAAAACAATTAAAACAGGGACAACACAACCACATCTTTCAACTAGCAACAGACAAGTAAACTTTCAACAGAGCAAGCAGCAGACTATACCCAGGAGGAGAAGGGGGGAGAAGGGACCTCAGTGATGTGACTGGCCTAAGCCGTTTTGCAGCACCTTTTGGAGCAGCCAAAACAGAGTTTTGGAGCATTAAAAGTGGCCTTTGGAGCAGCACCAACAGCGTTTTTTGGAGAAGAAAAAGTGTTTTTTGGAGCAGCCAAAACAGTGATTCGGAGCTGCAAAAGTGGTTTTTGGAGCAGATATTCTTAGAGAAATAAAAATATTTGTTTTAAGTGCTGGACAAACGAAAGATACTTTGTTCGCTGCAATGAACAAATTATGGTCATGTTCGACCACCTGGGAGTCTTTCAACATGTAACTGAAATGCCAATGGCATGATATATTTTGCAATGCTTCAGTTAAATGATGCATATATATGCACCTGCTATAAATAAATAAGAACCAAACTGCACATATCAAACCTTATATGAAAATGACCGGATTAGTAGTAAATATCACAGCATTAGGTTGACCAGTTATATAATACATGGAAGCAGTCTCCTGCTGATGAAACACATAACTACCGCAGTGCATTGCGAAATTGTACACAAGACAAAGGTGCATTACGACTAGCGGGTGCTTTTCTTTTTGTTTTTCGAAACTTTCTGCAAGGCTGCTGCAAGCCTTGCTTTGCCTTTGGCTAGTAATAAATGTCCACTTGCAATGCCTCCAAAGAGACATTGAGACATCCCACAAGTGTACATACATTGCTGTAGGCGTCGTCAAGCAATTCCGAAAAACCGCTTGCCACCGTTTTACTGGATCCCGACATGCCCGATTTTCGTCAAAAGAAAGAAAAAGTAAAGCAATGGATTGCAAGCGTCCTGGCTGGTGCCTCTGTCGTGCATTCATGTTGTGGGGATTGTGATCCCTCAACATTCTGTCGCGTCAGCGTTTTGGCGCGCCGTGGCGGCCGCGCTGGCGTAGCGAGGGGTGGCGCTGCTTACCACTGTGAGTGGCTTCCTCCTCTCCCCCCTTGGGGCGATTCCCATAGCGAACCCCCGCACAAAGGAGATTGACGTGTCGCTCCTTGATTGGCCACTTCGCCCCCGTCGTTATCTTAAAACCAGCGGACAGCAGTCTCGCTTCTGTCTTCTTCCTGGGATTCGGCGGCGGCGACAACGGGGAACCTTCCGGCGCACCAGTGAGCGTTTACCCCGTCCTTTGTACATTTGTGAACGACCGTTCGGCCGTGGGCGATCTCCACACCGACGGCGTTCACCAGCTTATAGCCGCTGTGTTGTTGTTATTTTGTTTCATTGTAAATAAACAGTTTATCACCGTTACCAACGTGACTGGTGTCTCATTGCGCTCGACGAGCAGCATGCCACGCGAGTGCGAACCCGCTTCGCGGTAGAGCGTCTCGCCGCGAACGTGGTACTCCCAAAGGCAGTGGCCCTAAGGAGAACCACAATTTGGCGCCCAACAAAAGGGCTGACGACCAGAACCCTGGTACGTCTGTGTGTGGCGACTGCTGCCGAGTGACGAGTCCTCGCGCAACCAGTGCTTACCGTGACGATGCAGACCGACTTCTCGGATTTGCTCATGCTGACGACCGCGGCCGACGCATTCGCACAGCCCCCACTTCAACGAGAAGCCGAAATGCCAAACCTCCAACGAGAAGCGCCCTACGGCGCACCCCTGGAGCCGAGCATGGTTCCGACGCCATTGCGGACGGGCGCCATCACTCCCAGATCTTCCCTGAACGCACGTGCTCCGCCACCGGCACAAAGCGAAGCCTACCGGTCTCCCCACGGAGAAACCGCGGCGTGATGAAACCGCGGCGTGAGCGGGAGAAACCGCGGCGTGAGCAAGGTGTGATGAGAAACCTCATCACACCTTGCTCGAAAATGCGGCACGTGTGATTGAGAGTCTGACAGGTGCGTTGCGAACGACAACACTCGCACCACAGACCCAACGACCTCCGGTCCGAATTCCTGTCCCGACTTATCGGGGTTACGCAGACAAAGCGAGCGCTACGGACTTCCTTGACGATTTAAGAGAGTACCAACTTGGCGATGGGAATGTCCGATCGTGAAATACTTGAGCGCATTCTGCCAATCGCGCTCGTCGACGAAGCCGCCCCCGCTGGTTCCGATTTGTCGGTGACCAACCCGCCGGAACGCTCGATCAGTTCCGAGAGGCGTTCCGCCGCGAATTCCTTCCCGCCGACTATGAGAGAAGGATGCGGCGGGAGCTCGAACAGCGAACCCAGCATCCGGACGAGTCCCTGCTGGAGTTCGTACGAGCCATGCAAGAGCTCTTCGAGTTCGCGGAACCCTCAGCTCCCAATGCAGAGCGAGTGGAACGCTTCATACGCCAAAGCCACCCTACTTTCGCTGCGTATCTTCGAGGCAGCCGTTTCCGCGACCTGAACGAGCTCGCCTCCGAGGCCCGCCGTCTTCAGGGAGACATTCTCGCTGCCCGTGCGTACCGGCCTCCGCCTCCAGCGTCAGCGGCCCTCGAACCGCGCTGCGCGTGAAGCGGGGACACGCCATCTCGAACACCGAGGTGCTACGATTCCGCAAACTATGCGGAAGATCGGGGACGAGATACGTACGCAATCTCAGATCGTGCGCTCGACCCATACTCCTACGGTAGACGAACAAGCCGGCCGACGCCGCAGTTTAGAACCACCGACTCGCGCCCCAACGAGGCAGCGAGGCAGGAGGAAACGAGGATCCCTCAATCTCAGCGAGCCGATGCACGCTAAGACAGAGCCGGCGAAAACCAAAACGCACGGCGGAACCCCCGGCGAGGCGACGACAGAAGATGTTTTCGGTGCAATCGCCCCGGTCATCTCGCTCGCCAGTGCCCGGAGCGGCCGAACACGGAATCGCACCGTGCGGGAAACGAGCAAACCCACCGGTAAACGGCCCTTGGACGGACGGACCGGTGGCTAACAAAGAATCAGAGGGTCCCATGGCCACTCTTTTGCCGACCGCCTACAGAATAGGCTTCCCGACCGGCACGCCGGCCCCGTTCATTTCTGTAACGATCGCCGGCAAGCCATTCAAGGCACTCCTCGACACCGGAGCAAGCGCTTCGATGTTCGGCGACGAAGTGTTGACTCACCTCCGACAGAATTCTGTCCGACTCCGAGAATGCAACACTGCCTTTCGCCTAGCCTGCGGAACCGCCCTTTCGGCTGGTACCGCGCGGCTGGTCGCGAGATGGGAGAATCGAGTAAGACGACAACGCTTCGTTCATCTCCCTGGCCTATCGGTGCCCATTATTTTGGGCAGACTTCCTTGCCAAAACAGGCATTGTAATCGACGTCAGCAGCGCAGGCTATCGGGAGGGCACGTTTGCACCCCTGAAACCCTTCTGCGAACCCCCGGACGTACCGCCAACGCCACCATTGGCGCACGCGACGAGCCGTCGAGAGGAAGCGAGGGACTCCCTAAACCGGGTCATTGACCCCAAGACACCGAGTCCAGCGCCGATGGCAGCGAGCGCCGCCCCCATCAGGGAAATGACGCACCCACTGCTCACGCAATCATGCAGCGTGTCAGGGCGCGAAAAAGCCCGACTGTCGTCGTTGTTGCGCCGCTATGATGCAATGTTCACGGACCGACCGGGCTGCACAAACGAAGTGCGACATCCCATTGACACGGGCGACGAACTGCCAAGAAGGCAGAATGCGCGACCCGTAAGCTTGGCTAAACGAAAAGCCATCGACCGTGCCCTGGACGAAATGATCGACACCGGAGTTGTCCGGCGATCTAACAGCCCCTGGGCATTCCCCGTGGTGCTGGTCCCGAAGAAAGACGGCAGCTCACGTCTCTGCGTGGACTACCGCCGTCTCAACGACGTCACACGAAAAGACGCCTACCCGCTACCGAGCATCGACTCGATTCTGTCCAACTTGGGCAGTGCGCGGTACTTCACCACCCTGGACGCTAGCCGAGGCTACCTCCAGGTTCGGATGGAGCCAGGTGACGAGGCAAAAACAGCCTTCTGTTGTCACCGCGGGGTTTTCGAATTCACACGAATGTCCTTCGGTCTGTGCGGAGCGCCAATGACGTTCCAGCGATTGATCGACCGAGTACTGGGAGAAGCAAAATGGAAACACGCAATGGCCTATCTCGACGACATTGTCGTCTACTCCAACACCTTCGAAGATCACCTACGTCATCTCGAGGACGTACTCGACCGGCTAAAAGCCGCGGGAATGACCCTGAACCCCGAAAAGGCTCAAATAGCCGAAACCCGCATCGCCTTGCTCGGGTTCGAACTTGATCGCGGGCGCCTTGCGCCACATCCGGACAAACTACAGGCAATCCTGGAGTTTCCTGCGCCAACCGACGTGAGCTCCCTCCGTCGCTACCTGGGAGTGGTGAACTTCTATCGCCAATTCATCCCAAACTGCGCGACTCTTCAAGCACCACTGACACGCCTATTGCGAAAGTCCGTGAGTTGGAGCTGGGGTCCCGAGCAGGAAGCGGCCTTTCGCCGCACCTCCCGAGCGCTCGCAGACACAGCTGAACTCAAGCTACCCGACTTGAACAAGCCCTTTCTGATTCAAACAGATGCCAGCAATCTGGGCTTGGGCGCGGTCCTGCTCCAACAGCACGAAGGTGTACTCCGACCGGTGGCCTTCGCCAGCCGCTCGTTGACGCCAGCTGAAAGGAACTACAGCACATGCGAACAAGAGTGCTTGGCCATCGTCTTTGCACTCCGGCGCTTCGACATTTATGTCGACGGGACCACTTTCGTGATCGAAACAGATCACCAAAGCCTAATATGGCTCTCCCGACTTCGCGAACCCGCTGGTGGCTTGGCAAGATGGGCTTTGATGCTGCA